TCTCTCTCTCTCTCTCTCTCTCTCTCTCTCTCTCTCTCTCTCTCCTCACTCTCTCTTTTAAAAAAAAAATTAAAAATGGGCTAGGCATGTAACTAGTGGTAAAGTGCCTCTAGGTTTAATCCCCAGTATCAAAAACAAACAGTTTGAGCTGGGCACAGCTACTTGGAAGCCTGAGGCAGAAGGATTTCAAGTTTGAGGCCAGTCTGGTTAACTTAGACTGTTTTTCAAAATAAAACAACTGGTAGAGCACCATTGGGTTAAATTCTTAGTCTTGCCCCACTGCCCTCCAAAATCCTGTTAGGTCCTATAATTAGAAGATCTAACCAAATGTTTCTAAGGAAGTAAAATTTAAGCTAAGACCTGAACATTGGGGTGAGAGGTGAAATATGAGGCTATAGAAGCAGGCAGGAGGCAGATTATAAAGATTTTAAAGGCCATGTGAAATTCTGGACTTTTTCTCTAAGAGGAAACTCTGAAAGAGTTTAACCTGGGTAATGACATGACCAGATTTGAAATTTTAAAATATTACTCTGGCTGCAGCATTGAAAGATTGAAGGTGGTCAAGGGTAGAAATAGAGATATAAATTAGCAATTGTCCTTATTACGGCTTGAGAAAAGGCTGAATGCTTGAGAAGAGTGAACAGTGAGACTAGAAAAGTATATCTGGAGGGGTGTGTGGGAGAACCTTTATTGTCTAGAGATTACATTATAAGGAAAAGGGATTTATCTGATAGCTCAGGGTTGCTGGCCAATAGTTGGGATTGCCAGAGCTGAATGGCTTTGGGTCTTATTCCCTTTAATACATGTTGCTGTAAATTGCTAAGATTTGTTCTAGAGAACCACCAAAAAAGGTTCTGAGCATATGAAAAGTAGTATTATAGGTTTGGATGTGAGGTGTCCCCCAAAAGCTCCTGTGTTAATGCAGAAATTCAGAGGTAAAATGATTGATTTATGAGGGCTATAACCTAATCAGTCCATCCTAATTTGAATGGTGTAACTGAGTGGTAACTATAAGCAGGTGGGGGCATGGCAAGTGGAAATGGGTTACTGGAGATGAGCCTTGGAAGAGTTCATTGCCCCATGGTGCCATTTCTCTCTGTCTCCTGGCTTCCTTAAACAGAGTGGCTATGATGTTCTGCCTTGCTATGATGACCCAGAGCAGTGGAGGTTGGCCCACCATGAAATCTCTAAAACCATGAGCCAAAATAAACTTCTCCTTTAATTGTTCTTGTTAGGTATTTTGATTATAGTGACAAATCCTTGACTAACTAACGCAGGTAGTGATGCATAGTGATTATAAGCATGGACTTTGGAGTCAGACAAACCTAGATTTGATTCTGACTTCACCACTTGTTAGACCTATGATCTTGGATAACTGAGCCTTGGCTTCCTGTATTACTAGATAACACTATAGCTCATTAGCTCATTAGGTGCTAGCCACTGTTCTAATTTTTTTTTTTTCGAAGTTGCCGAGATCCTCCTGCCTTAGCCTCTTGAGTTGCTGGGATTACAGGCATCTGCCACTGTACCCCCTTCTAAGTTCTTAATTTATATTACTTCCTTTAATTCTCATAATAACCCTATCTGGCAGGTACTTTATTGTAAATAGGAATAACTAAGGTACAGAGAAGTTGAGTAATTTGCCGAAAGTCACACAACCAAATGAGCAACTTGGCCAAGTTTGAAATCCAGGCAGTCTGACTTTGGAATCAAGCTTTACCTGTGTTACTGGGTCATGGTGAGGATTAAATGAAATTATGCATATTAAGCATCTAGCATAGTGTCCTATGATAGCATTCATAAATGATACCTCACTATTAATGATATTCTCATCAAAATTGTGCTCAGGAACATTTTAGTCATTGTGTAAGGGAGGATAGGTTGAGCCAGGAATTGAGGTCAGTTCTGAGCTTTGGCTTTAAGCACTATGTAGTCTCTTAAGTTTCATGAGGTCCTTGGCACCCATTCCAGAGGCTTCTATTCATGAAAGACACTTTGGGAGAAGTGAGGTAATAGAGCTATTACAGTGAACAAAGCAGACAAAATCCCTTGCCTTCATGGAGATCACATTCTATCTACCAGGATGAGATAGAGAAAGGAAATACACACATATAAAGTAAATAAGTACTTTAAAGAAAAAAATGCAGGGCTGGCAGAACACTTGCCTAGCATGTATGAGGCACTGGTTCAATCCTTAACATAACTATGTAAAAATAAATAAATAAAATAAAGGTGTTAAAAAAGAAAAAGAAAAAGAATGCAGACTAAAGACACAGAAGATGATGGGAGGGGCTGGGGTCGTGGCTCAGTGGTAGAGCACTTGCATAGCATGTGTAAGGCATTGGGTTCGATTCTCAGCACCACATAAAAATAAGTAAAGGTCCACCAATACCTAATAAAATATTTTTTAAAAAGATGATGATGGGAATAAAATACTGTTATTTTAGATAGAATATTAAAGGAATGCCAGTGTCTCCAATGAGGTAACTGTGTGTGTGTGTGTGTGTGTGTGTGTGTGTGTGTGTGTGTGTGTGTGTAGAAGGATACTGGACGTTGAAACCAGGGCCTTCTGTATGCTAGGCAAGCACTCTACCACATCATCATCATGTTTTATTTTGGGACAGGACTTTACTGAGTTGCCAAGGTTGACCTTGAACTTGGAATCATCCTGCCTCAACCTCTTGAGTAAGTTACCTGGGTCTACCAGTATGCACCACAGTGCCTGGATTGATGAGTATCTTTTGAGGACAGACATGAAAGAAGTGAGGAAGCTCATCAGGGATATTTAAAGGAAAAGTTTTATAGGCAGAAAGCACAATAGTTCCAAAAGCCTGCGATGGGCTTGATACAGTGTCGTACGCTTGTAATCCCAGATGCTGAGGCAGGTGGATCACAAGTTCAAAGCCAGCCTCATCAAAAGTAAGGCACTAAGCAACTCAGTGAGACCCTGTCTCTAAATAAAATACAAAATAGGGCTGGAAATGTGGCTCAGTGTTCC